ACCCTTCACCCCAAACCCTAATCCCTAAACCTGCCAAGCCGCCTGGCCCCTTGATCTCCCACACAACTTCTGTCTGCCGCGCAGGGCCCCACCGTGGCAGCCACTACTGCCCCGCCGCCGGGGGTTTGGGCTCGGTGCTGTGGCCCGGCGGCAAGGGGGCTATGATGCCTACTAGTAGTATTGTTATTATTCTTATTACCATTATCAGTATTACTACTACTATTACAATTATACATTACCATTATTATTAGTACCATTCTTGCTACTATTATTATTATAAGTATTACTGCTATGATTAGTATTAATGAATATAAGTACTAGTAGGGGCCATGTTAAATTAGGGCCTTATTAGTGACAATTCCAAAAGAGGCCCGGCTCCAATGATTTCAGTTCAGGGCCTGATTTTCTTCCATGCCAGGAACTACTCTGCTCTATTCCGTGGCCTTTTTCTTATTCAGTGACCCCAAGAGCTTGCTGTCTTGTTTCAGCCATGTTTCGGTTGGAATTTCAACCTGACACCGTAAACCCGAAGCCGCCCCTGGACTCTGAGCACCAATCCCAATCATGGGTTCCCGTACGAACCCCCCCAAACTACCCCCCTAGATTGACCTTTTATCCCTAAATAGCTTTGGTAGTACGGGAGCCCATGAACCAAGGTCAGTGTTTGAAGGGATGGCGCCGCCAGCGCGAGCCGCTGCTGGAGCGAGAATAGCAATGTTTGGGAAGCTCCCTGCTGGGTTCATCACCGTCGGCCACAATCAGCAACCCAATCTCTACTTCAAAGGCAGAATGACTTTAGGCGTTGCCTTGCTACGACAGTGTACTCTCGCATAAGCACGAAAGGTCTAGTAAAGAATCATGGCCACGGGCCTCACATGACAACAATAATCGAGCGTCAGCAACTGAGAATTTTGTCTACAAAGAGCACATGGACCCACACGAGCCAAAATCTAAACTCCTTAAAGGGGGTTATATAAGAGATTATATAGGGCCATAGGGGATTACTATAGGGGTTATTCAGGGGGATACTAGGAGTTTACACTATGGCTCAAAACAACTTACGCACAAGTAGGACCTTGGCCAACGCAAGCAAGCGCAAGCTGACGAGCCGGGAGGTCGGCAGGTCATGTTCCCTGAGCTCGGAAGGTTAAACCCTAAACCTAATTCCTTCATACTAGTACTTAACACCCCCCCACTTCCATTATTAAATATCTCCCCCAACAAGTAAGATCTCTCATGCGGACAAATTTCATAGAAACCAGGATAAACAAGGCCATCAGTATCAAAGATGTAAGACCGTACCAGAAGTGTAAAGCTTAAATACAGACGCCCAACACAGTCGCGTATAGTCCTCACAGGGTTCTGGAGTCTAGATCCCCAGCGTGTCAGACAGTATGGACCTGTCAAAACGTTTGTTCGACCTCTGTCTGCAGCAGCGGCCGAGTCTACAGTGATCAGGTGCCCGGAGCAGTTTTGGCCAGAATCTTCAAGTTAGCGCAGTTGAGTGTAGGTGTTGTAGCGTTTTAGCATGTCTTGCACTTTTCTGGTTTCCTTTTCGTGGTTTTTTGAGGGCATTTGGGAATCAGGTGGGGGCTGAGAAACGTCGGGGCCCGCCTCTTGGAACCAATTCGGGCAATCTTCGTGGTTAGTCCTGTCGTCTCGGTGTCTGCCTCACTTTTTGGATTTCGCTGTGTGCCATTTCCAGTACTTTCAATACATGATAGCAGCAGCTTCACCATTCTTCGGCTTCTGATGCCTCTTTACAAGCCTGCTGCTGTTCATATCCTCTCTTCCCAGCATTGGTTGCTACAGTTTGAGCCTGGGGGGTTTGTTCTATTGACATGCTGCTAACGGCAATTCATGCGCAAGACAGGGCTTGTGGGGGTCACTAGATGTCTCCCACATGATCCGGGTTTAAGGTTTCTCATCAAGAACCCCGCTAGATTCCATGATGATCGTATGCATCCCGTAGCCACTCCTGTTGCCGTAGTCGGAGATTTGGCCAGTGCCGCGGGAGCCAGTGTACAGTTGAGAGGTGTTTCCGTGCAAACCTGGGTTCTGGAGCCCTCAAGCCTGGGCAATTATGAGATAATGCTACTGGGTAATTATAACTCAGCTGTAATCACATTACGGGGTTTAGGGGGCCTATAATTGCGCCATTCAGACAAATAACTGGGTTCTAATAACCCCAAACCTTATACACCCCTATACATAACCCTATATTGACCGTTATAATCGGGTTATAAGTATGGTTGAAACTGGGCCATGCAAAAACATAGTGCTGTGAGCCCAACCCCAAAGTTGATTTCGCTTTTGTGGTAATAGCAGGGTTATATTGGGGTTACATGGGGAGAATGGAACATAAGATGGAAACTACTATTCAGGGTTTAGGGTTTGCATTCCTAAGCGGAGGTTAGTTCTCCCAACCCCTACCTGCACTTATCATGTGCTTGTAATAGGGTCCGAATTTTAGGGTTGGGGTAAGTAAAGTCGCCTGATTAAACGCGCTAGCCTTGCATCCCTTAAATCCTGAGAGCGGTGTATTATGTGGGATGTTGCAGGTGTTTCCGTTGTTGAAGTATGATTTGCGTGACCTGCTAAGTTTTTGGTTGTCTTGAAGTCTGAAGCATGCGCTGCAGCCCTGAACTTGGGGGCCTAAGTCCGCAGCCTGTAGCCTTTAGCCAAGTTCTACGTTCAGTATCGGGTGATACAGGGGTTATATAGGGTTATATAGGGGTATTTGTGGGTATTATAGGGGTATATAGGATCGGGATTTAGCTTGATTCTGCTTTGCACCCTTGGGCTAGTGGGGGCTGGCAAGATAGTTTAGAGAGCCTCATCTTGGTCAAGCGTCCTTCCCTCATTGTGTGCAGCGGAAATGCTTCAACTTTCTCTGCCCAGCAGGCAGGAGCTGTGATTTCACGATCTTGAGGTCACCAAGAGATTGACTGAGCCCTGCCCGGGCTCTTCGTAGGTCTCTGGCGTCTCTTACATCCAGGACCCGTCCCTCTGACCCCAAGCACCATACTCTTAAGATGCTTGCAAGGGGGCTTCTTCACTGGACAGCAAGTCGGGATAGTGGAAAAAGAAGCAAGCCAGGATGTGATTGGACTAAGGGTCTCTTTTTTTGATATTTTGCCATTCTGTGTACTGATAGCAGAAGCGGGTCGTACAGCACAAGCATCTCAGACACGTAGAACCTCGCATGAACATCCTGTACTCCGCGTCACACCAAGTGGAGCTTCGGGCTTGTAGATGTAGATTGTCTTTTTGGGAGGCTTCGGCTTTTGACTTAAGGTGTGAAGTGGGATCTGCTTGAAGCTTGTGGATCTAGGTCAAGGTGTTAGCCTCTCAGGATTTTCAGATGGTGTGATGGAAAATTGGAAAGCCGCGAAACAACTTTGCGTTTGGGTCTTCGAAGGTTAGATGTTCCCCCTAGAGGCCGCGGCCTGAAAGACAGGTAACGGCTGCCAAGAAGATGCTCATCTTACTTGGGCTTCGTAGGGAGTTTGGGAATATGTACGGATTATGTGGGGAGTACCTGTAAGCCAGGTTGAGCCAGGGTCATGGAGATCAGGGCAAGGGCGGGCAAGAGTCTTGAATTTATCTAGCCTGCTGACAACAGGTTTTGCTTGTCTTTCATGTGTCCTGGCTGTTTGCAGCGCAATTGAAACTGTATAGCCAACATCGGACACGACCCTGGGTCAAGCCTTTGCAAGGCAGGCAGGGTTTCTTCATGAATCTTCCTGCCACTGTCAAGGAGACAAGAGTAGATTTAGTTTGCAGAAGTGCTTCCCAATACGGGAAGCTTCTGTACCTTCAGCGCCATGGAAGTGCCAAAAGCTCGGTGCTCCAAGCAGGGCGTTTCTATCAAATTCAACTTCACGAACGACTTGTCTTTTTCTGCAGCGCGGCGGCAATGTATAGGGTAGTTTTCCTAATCGGGGCAAAGGTACCCCCAATTTTGCGAACCCCCCACAAGTTGCTGCTAGGTTGCCAGGCCTCAGGCCCTAGATCCCAGCCAAACTAAAACTAAACCCTAAATCCTAGAAATTTTACAAACTGAACCCTGAACCCTTTAAACCCTATAGACCCTGTAAACCTCATAAACCATGTAAACGAGATAAACACTGCAAACCCTACCAACCCTATAAACCCTTGAAACCCTATAAGCCCGAGACCCTAAACCTCGCCTGATTGAAGCTGGGCTTGCTGAGGTCAAAATGCTCTATGTTGACCACGCGGGCACGGACATTGATGCTGAGCTTGCAAGTCATGATCTTGGGTGGATGTGAGCTGAACATTCAGGTTGGGCATTGGATTGGGCATATGCCACGAGAGATAGAGAGACCTGACAAGAGGACAACATGTTTTGTTTCATGCTGACATTGGGTTATGGCACCACGCCGAGCAGGGTTGCCTGTTAGGGTGCAAAGTGGAGGACACAGGGATGTGAAGCTAGCTGTCCGCAACCAGCTCTGTCAGTTTGAAGGTAGGCTGTGCTTGCTATGTTAGGGCTAAAAAGCCTCTAGGGGCCTCATTGCTATCATTTTAGAGGCACAGCGGAGTGGAAGGAGTAGCAGCAAGCAGCAATGGCAGCAGTCGCCCTTCACCTCAAAGTCTTTGATTTGATTTGACTCCCGACGAGGACGTGGGTGTCATGATGGCACCAGGCGCCCGCTACGAGAACGGTGTCACAGAAACTGGCCACTGCTGGTCCATTTGGAACGCAGACACGCAGGACCAAGGTTGACGAACAACTTGCTCTAGCTAATGCGCTGGGAGATTGCGAATACAACACTGCACAGTAGCAGGAAAGAAGGGTAACATCATCGGCGGAAGCCGCATTTTGAGTTTTGACGCTTCGAAAAAGCAGGCTGAACGTGTCAAGTTTTTGGTGTCGTCGGCGGTGCAGGATGAGATCATAACTTGGGTCATTGCCCCCTACAGTAACTGTCCTTAAAGAGATCTTTGTAAGGGGTGACGATAACTTATAACGCCTATGACTGACCTACTGTGGTAACAGCTACAGTGAGGAGGAATGACTTAAATTATTGTTTACCTCTGCTTAGTGGGGAATGGAGGAAGGAAAAAGATTATGGAAATTACTACAGTAGTGGGATAGTAGGGGCTACTATAAGGATTCATGTCTTCATTCCTTGCTAACCAGGGGTAAAGTAAGTTTGTGTATGGTATTCTGGATCAGAGTTTGACATCAGAGTGTGAAGGGTGTATGAGGTCCGTATAGGGGACGGCCCAATAGCAACGAATCTTGAATCTAATGGAACAGAAAACGGAACGTGAAATTGAATTTGTGATGATAGACTTATTGGGGTTTTGGGTTCAAGGTTGGCATGCACCGTAGATATGAGGGGCCGTGTCATATTAGAGGCCCAAACAGGGACCATGATTTTGACTACCTACCACTACCTACCATTTCTGCTATGTCCAGCACTCCCTGGCCACTGTGAAGTGCGCCTCAGTGAGCCAGGGTTTAGGGTTTAGGGTTTAGGGTTTCCACATTGGAGACCTTTTTCCCTTTGAGCAGATAGACCGAACTCTCTCACGCACTTAGTGCCTGAAACCTCAGACTCATGATCTTAAGTCCTGTGGCCTGAAACCTTCAAACTGGGAAGAGATCCTCCAGTCCCGAGATGCAAACCTTTAGCCCCGAGACCTTCATACCTCAAGCTTGATAATTGAAAGATCCTAAACACACTGCCAGGAGGAACTGGGCCTCATCCACGTGCTCACGGACGAGACTTGGAAACAAGTCAGGAACACATTGCAGCTACCATGCCTATGAAACCATCGCATCCTGTGCTCAGACTCGGGTTAGGACCAAACAATGCAATATGCTGTAATTTCATGGCAGCTAACTACAAGTTCCTTGGCCCTAAGCCTAATCCCTAAATCACGGAGCGGTGCTGTGCTGTGAGTGATGCGCGCGTTGAAGCCCTACTTGGAAGTTCATGATACATATAATCCAAACAAATGGACATTTGAAACCCAACTGTTTAAAGCCCAAGTACAACCTCGTTAGGACTTCGGGGGCTCACAATTGATTATAAGTACCAACTACATGGGTCACATGTACCCTGAACCCCGGTTATAACCATGTTAGGGGTTTCAGCGGCTTATAGTTAATTGGGTATAAGTACCAGCTATATTTGTATTAGTTCTGAACCTCCACAAAGACCCACAATCCTAAACCCTATGCCCCTAAACCCTGAACTGCCCTAAACTCTTAGCCCCTAAACCTCTATGCCTGAAATTATAATTGACCTTTTGCTACGTGAGTGTGCCCTAGGCATTTTAGCGTGCTTCTTGCTTGGATGGTCTGCAGACAGCTTGCATAAACCCCTTAACCCCTAAACCCTAAACGGCTACCCAGGAGATGCACTGTCTCTCCGCCGCACTCGAGCTGAACCTGGGCTGAACCCAGGGGTTCTTAGTGTCGAAGCCGGAAGAAGGGTTTGGGGACTGTATACCATGTTATAGTATAGTACAGTATTTTAGATTATAGTATTTTATAGTATACTATTGTATATTACAGAAATATATTATTATACGATAAAATCGGGGGGTTGGGGGGTTAGCCTGAACCAAAAGGTTCTAAGTGTAGAAGCCAGAAGAGTAGGGGTTTAGGGTTTAGAGCTTATGGTTTAGGAGTTTGGGGGTTCTGGGGTTTGTTGGGGTTGTTTGTCTTGGGGGCTTAAGGGTTTGGGGTATGGGGCTGAGTGGTCGGGGCGTACCGTTGTTCGCCTTGCATTTGACCACAAGCATGCTCCCTTTTATCGATCATAGATAGGGTTCAGACCCCAGGTCACTTCGTCTGCTGCGATTCAAAGGGTGTGACTTCTTCTTACCCCATCCACATTTTGGGGAACCCCCGGAGGGGTAGTTAGGGGTATGACCAACCTACTTCTCCCCCACAAGAACAATTGTTGCGCAAGTCCTGCGAAACATCTAAGTACGGTTCACCTTCCTAAAGTTTGTGTGCTCTTGCGTGAGGGATGATGGGGTCTCGAAATAGGAGCCAGAGAGGAGCCAGAGACGATATGCGACAGCAACTTACCCAGGTTAGGGTTGCGGGGATGGTGGATGTTAAGCAGTTCAATGCTCAAGGGTTCGGTTCGACGGTTGCTGATTTTTGCGCAGGAAGGTCGGTTCTGAGCGTGTGATTCCTCGCAGCGCATCTTCAAGACTATGTCTGGCAGCAAATTGAAGCAATCATTTTTCACAACTGTTCGATCTAATTCTGAGTTCCTCTAGAGAAACATGTTCTTGCTGCTTGAGGGCTGATCTAGTACCCCAGTCGTCTGAAGCAGGACACCACATTCACACTGTAATCGTATGTTTATCTGAATCCTCGCAAGACTCCCGAAAGGTCCTACATTGACCCCTTCTGATGTACAGAAGCACTCAGTATGCAACTTTAAATCAGAATGATGTCTCGCCTTCTCAAGGAACTCTTTTCTATACGGCATTATTCGCGAAGCATCTGCCCTGTCAGGATTGCGAAGAGCCCGCCCCCGCTGAAAACGTTGACCGCAAGCCTCATCGAAGCTGTGCAAAGCACTTCTCCTGACGCCTGGCCGTTCATGGGAAGAGTGATTTCTACACTGCAAGCCCGAAAGACTTGAAAGACCATAGATTAAAGCTTGCAGCAGGGGCTCCACGAATGACAAGATGGAATCTTCGGGGCCCTCAGCATGTCCCTCGAGGGCATCAGGATGTCTAGTGAGAGGCCCTCCACTCTCAACTCCTGAATTTTGAGATGTTAAACTCAGGAACCAAAGCCAATCCTCAAGCTCCAAGCGTGTTGGAGCAAACTACTCAGGACTGGCGGGCCTTTGTGTCGCAACAGGTCGGGGAGGACCTGGATGATCAAAGCATCCCACTACACGGACTACACGCAACCATGAAGTGGACATGAGTGATTCCTCACAAGCTTCACATAAGTGTCGTACACCATACCGTATACCTGAAAAATACTTTGCCCCGCGGCGAGGGCATCGTCCTTATGCGGCGTCCCTACCGCGAGCTCTCGATACGAAGCCGGGTGACTCCCGTGAAGAGCCAGTGCCTGGATTGCGAACATCCCACAAACTTTTTAATTGGGGGGAACTATGGTACCCAATATAGAGTAAGATTACATTCTGGGGATAGTATTTTGCATAAGGAATATCATCTTACTTGGTTCAACCAGCAAAAGCACCACGCAGCTGTGCTCGAGAGACAAGCACGGATTACACGGCTCAGAGTGTTTTTGGGTCAGTTTGTTTAAGACAATCAGGACTTAGCGAGGTATAGAGAGCGTTACCTCGCCGAAAGCAATTGAAGGTGCTGCATGCCCATAGCCCAAATATTGCTGCTGGACGAAATCCTGCATGATCCGTAGCTCTTGGAAATTCTAGTATGCAAGGTCCTGCTAATTTCTGGGTTGTTGTTAAGGAACTTAAATGAAGTTACCATTATGGGTATATGGTAAACAATAGGGTTCATTATAGGAACTTGACTTAAGTTCCTTGACGACAACCCGGATTTTGTCCATAACACGCAGGAAAAGCCTGCCGGGTATCATTTTTTTGGTGGCGGCAGGTTTAGGTAGTTTAGAATTTAGGCTTTAGGTAATCTAGGGAGGTGGGAGGAGGTGTTTATGGCGATCAGACCATGTTTCTCACAAGCATCTCTGTAAGAATGAGGGTTTGCTCTCAAGCATCAAGGCCTCAACAGAGTACCCAACGTGTTCCTGATTTATTTGGTTTGTTTTTGAGGTCTTCACATCAAAGTTTAACATTAATGTGGGGTATGGGAGGGTCTGCATATGCCTGGCATGTCATTTTTCTATAGTTCAAGCAGGCTACATGTGACCTGGGGAGAGTTGCGCAGGTATGGATGGAGTTCAGCGCCTGAGACGCACTGCATGATCTATGCTGGGCATCTTCTAGGCTTCAGCGTCAGACAAGAGGGTGGATGTTTACAGGAATGGAATCATCTGTAATGCCCCCTAAAATCTTGGGTGCCGTGTCAAGGATAGCACTGGCAGGTTTTAACCGCCAGGATGTTTCTATGCGACACTCATGATAAGGCTTGCAGTTTTTGATAAAGCTTCCAGTCTTTGGGCGTAGAAAGGGTGACTAGGGACTGAGAGTGAGCAAGGGCCAATCATCTCTTGGACAGTGCCCCAAGCCCCAAGGCTTGAGGCCCTAATCAACCCCAAAAGCTGGACACGCGGTTCAGGGTTTAGGGCTTAGGGTTTAGGGGCTCAGGGTTTAGGGTTTAGGGGCTTAGAGTGTGGGGTTTAGGGGTTTAAGTCTTAGGGTTTAAGCAGGGCTGTGGCGCTGATCGCTGGAGCTATGGCCGGAGTGAGGTTGCGTATCGTCACCCTCCTGTGATTCCAGCATGAGTTACCGCGTTCAACGAATGCTGTGATCCTTCGTGGGGTTGCGCTTGTCGTTCCTAGAGGTCGAAATGCGGTATGGAGGGTATAGCCATCCGTGGGTACTCCACCCGAGGACAAGAGGTTTTTTGACAACATAATGCAGGGCGTATGCGGAAGAATCAATGGACTAATTGCTCAAGCTCCTTTACGGGTGACTTGGGGCCCCATGCAAACCCAAATGAAGTCTCACATGCTGGTTCTCAGATCTCCAACCAGGAGCTCACAATCCAGCAGAAACCTGCATACTACTTAAGTCTTTCATGAGCAAGCCAGAAGGGTATCCCCGACATCTTAAGCTTTATCGCTTAAACGCCTTCAGGAAGAAATCTTGCAGCTGCCATCCCGAATCTCCAAAGCTTAAACTTGAATCCCCAGGTCCTAGACCTGAACCACTAAGTCCTTAACTCCATAAACCTAAATGGTCTTTTCCCAAAATGGGGGGACCCCAATATAGACCCCAAGAAACTATAATCCTTGCTAAATTAATGGGGCCCTCAAAATGGTTCCCTAATTTTGGGAATCCCTGGAAGGCTTTGGCGACGCAGATGGCTCCAAAGGCCAGGATGGCAAGACCACGATCCTTGATCAGGACGGGTCAAGTCCTCTCCGTTGAGAAGAACGTCACCCACCCCCGTAAAAACCAAGGGCCATAAGCCTTGTAGCGTTTCCAGAATTAAGTGCAACCTTTGATTGATCAAGATTGCCCAGGGCGGGTATGAATCCACCAGCCGTGGTGGTTGAGGTTTCCGGGTTTGCGGATGATTTCAAAATGCAAGCATTAAAATCCTTTTCTGCTGTCGTGTAAGGTTTTGGTGAGGATTTGATCTCCCTACTCTTTTTTGTCCGTAGACCCTTAGTCTTGAACGTCCAACTGCATGCTGGTGAAGCGGTTCCATTCAGAAAGGCTTCACAGATCTGGAGTCGCGTCGTGTGCCAGCACCCATTTGTGCGCACCATTCATGATTCAAAAGCAAATCTATGTAGAATGCACGTGGCACCACAGAGCTTTTTTTTTGTTTTTGTTTTTGTGTGTGTCTGCAACCTCCAGAAATGGAGAGACCCTTAGTATGGGAAAGCTAGCTTAGTCGGAGGTCAACATGTTGATTTTGGGGTACCTCACAAAATATGAGGCTTTTAGGGAAAACAGGTTTAGGTAACACGCCTCCCTATGCCCTGTGCTCACAAGTAGGGACCTGAAGTTTGCCAGAGACCCTAAGCTCTAAGCCCTTAAACCCTAAGCCCGAGCTGGTTTTCAGCAGGATGGCAAGCCTTTCCCAGCGGAGTCCTACATTCCGGGCCTGCAGTCAATCTGCGCATGCGTCATTCCCAGAGAGCAGGTGGACACTTGCAGGTTGCAGGTATGGTTTCATTTTTTGGTGAAGAATTGGCTGAGCTGCGCTGTAGATCTTGAGTCTAGTTGATTTTCATGTACTGTTTCCATTTTCTTTTCCATTATCCCAATATCACCCCTATATAACCCTATATAATAACCCCTACCTACTTAAGGGGGACTATAGTTTGGAACATATTTTCAAGCGAGCGCCGCAGGTCCGACAAATGACCTCGTTGACACCCCAAAAGAAGATCAGCTGTGCAAAGTAAACTGCATTCAGATGCCAGGTAAAGGGTACATGGACCCTCCAATAGACCCTCCGCGCCTCGTTCTGGCCAACTGAAGAATTTCTGCAGGTCCTAAGCGTTGAATTTGAACATTAAGCCCAACGCACATGCCCGATTTTGCAACCTAAATGGGAGTTCTCAAAGTTATCTCCACATTTATTCAGAATTTCTTCATATCAGTGCCACACCTCAGATCGTTCTTGTGATTCGCATTGGCACGATTTCAAGGACAAGGCCCGAGTGCTGCACCGCCTCACGCAGTACGAGACCATCCTGGCCTCGAGATCACGGGCTCTGGATCCACAGTCCCCGGAGAGCCGACACGGGCTCCCAGTTCTGATAGCAGAATTTCAGACAAGTTCCAAACACTAATCCCTACCCCCCCAAACCGTACATCCCGGACCTTATATGAACCCTAAACCCTGTGCTTTCAAAGGTGAAGCTGGTACTCAAGTCATTAGTACCTAAACCAGACAATTTTTCGGTCTCAGCAATCCTGTGTAAGAAGGACCCTAAACTCTCTAAGCCTAAGGTTCCGTTTGGTGGAGCGCGCCACCATGGAGCCTGCGGAGCGTTCAAGGTTGGGGCCAAAGATGTCGCCAGCTTTCTTGGCCTGTACCGGCTTGTACGCCACATAATAAGAAATATTAGTAGTATTATTCTTGAGTATCATATTCATTACTGTGAACTTCTAGCCATTATGGCGGTTATTATCGTTATTAGTACTATTTATAGAATTCTTCCGTGATGTTTCTTCTAGCAAGCTTCGGATTTTCCTGATCGTCGTACATCTATTGGACTCCAGGTTGGGTTGGAACCCGCCCTCTGCAGGATGTTTCTGAGGGGCCGTCTGGCAAGCAAGTCACTTGCACGTGCCACTAAAGGACTCACTCTACAGCAGGGCAATAATGGCGTTGCTATGGCGAAAAGTCTTTGCATTTTCCATTGAAGTTATGGTTCATCAACCATATATCTTTCTTAGCCGTTTGTGCTGCACTTGTGTAGGAGTTAGAGTATACGAGCATAGGTTGTTATTAGCTGTTGGAACTTTATGACTTCAGGTCGTGAAGACACAACGGAACTGTTCTTGGTTCTCCAGACCAGCAGAATTGTACTTTGAGGCTTCGAACTCCGCCAGAAGAAAAACCCATGCAAGCGCTCTAGGCAGTCCTTGTTCATGTTGCCATATCCTGTATATGCATGTACCCAAAAATCTGTATAAATGTGCTACAACAACAGGATTCAGCCGCACCCCATGGTCACTTCCACTTCCCTAATCCCTACATCCTAGACCTTTAGGACCCCGAACCCTACAGCCCCCGAAAGAACCTTAAGCTCTAAACCCCAAAGCCATCGAACAGTAGTACCTGTCATTGCTTCAGGTGGATGTGGACGGCGCAAGCTGGTGTGACCACCAGTGGTTTGGGATGCATTTAAGAGGATTTTTGGAGTTGGTTGATTTGGAGTTCAAGGGTTGAGGGCTTGTGTACAGCTTTAAATATTCAGAAGACGAGGTTTTTCCCCCCTATATATCACATGGTGCAGTTGGGTATGCGCCAAGGGTCAGGGCTTCAACAGCGTATATCCGCGGAGCCCTGAACCTGAGAATAGTAGGTCTTCCAGAGCGAGCCATGACCTAACATTTTCAAAAGCTATCAGAAAAGGGCTGGATTGTTGTAGTAAAAGCAGTAGAAGTGTGTGCTTTGAATAACCCAAGGCTATAAAGCATCCATCCATTCTGCCTACATCAACTGAAGCACGTACAATCCAAAAAGGCCACCTAACAAGCCAGAACTTGGAGAATCCCCTTTTGGGTTCCTAGGTCACCATGACCAGCCAAGGTGACGCTGAAGCCATGCGACGGCAGTTGGAGGAACGTGGTCTGCAACTGGGCCATGCTTAAAAGAAGGGTATACGGGTTATGTTATTTTGGGGTTATATAGGGGTGCTATAGGGTCAAAAAGTGTTATATAGGATTTTTTAGAATCTAGAGTTACATCGAGTACGGGCCAAATGCGGAGGGAGGTCCCCTGTCGAAAGCCAGACCTTGATTTGCACCAGCCTGGCCTTGATGTCTAGGCTTAGGGTCATCAGGCCAAAATCTGCACCAATTGATCTGTTTACAGCACTGGGTTGGCCTTGGGGATATTTAGATATTTTCCCTTATGGGTCTTCCAAGGACCCTGTATACTAAATCTTATCAAAGGGCTCTAGAGGCCAACTAAGAAGAGGGTTGGGAACAAGAGCTGATGAGCCTTCAGTGCTTGACGAGTGGAACGGCATCAAAAGCAAACGTGGCACCAAAGCACAAGTGACGCATGAGCAGGCAGGATTTCTGGCGCAGCTTCCTCTCTGATGTGTCGCCTTCAATACTTTCTTATCCTGACTTGGGCTGTGTGGAGGTCAGTGAGTCTACCAATTGGAGGGTCTCATGTGGGCAACCAGCATACTTGTATAGTCCCCCTTAAGTAGATAGACTATGGCTTTGGGTATATCATAATAAGATCCCCATATACCCCATATTCTATCTACTTAAGGGAGACTGTAGGCCTCCCACCTTTCAGAGAGCATTGTCCATTCCTTGACATCTTCACGACAGGCACAGAGAAGACGGGAGACGTGGCTGCAATTAGTTTGCGTGTTGCATTCTACTGCTTTGTTTGCAGAGATTTTGCCTGGTCTTTTGTACTATACTTGTTGTGTCCCTGATTGATTCTAGTTGAAATGCAGTTCTGGTTCCAGATGGGGTCCCGATATGCTTTCCGAGATTACATTCAAGCATTGCCATGCTAGCAACTTGCCTGTAGCAACTCTGGACCCTTCATCCACAGAAAGGCTGACCAAGCCAAACCGAAAACTTCATCTCCTGCGTGTCGGAAGATTTTGCTTGAGTGCGGGCCTGTTCCTCGTCAAAACACCACCAATGAAAGGTACTCAAACCTTGGAACCGCCATTGCTTGAAGCACAAATCGGGTCAGAGTGGAGTCTACCCAGGATGCCGGACTACTACTTCGTGCAACGCCTTTGTACAAAGAGTCTCGACTGAAAAGCTTTCCGTTCCTCAATATGAGTTTGATCATGCACAGTTGTGAGTGCACGGTGGGTGCACGTACCGAAGCTTTCAAAGGATCTGTGACCACATCCAATATGATGCCGGCACACTGGGCTGCAATTAAGAAGCCATTCTTGCTGTAATGTTTGGAGACCACAATGCCTGATGCAGTTCCACTGCAGAAGGCCCCCGGAGACAGACAAAAACAAGGAGTTGTGAGAGCCCAAGCCGCGAAACAGGTTGCAGAAAGCCTGCAAAGGGTCGCTCGGGTCTTCCTTTCCTTCTTTGCCAACGAAGACGCTCCTGATGAACCAGCTTAGATCCCTCAAAAGGCCGGCAACCCTTTTGAACCATCACGAGGCCTAAGGGCATTGTAGGCCCAAAAAATTAAGCCAACTTTGCAACTGTTGCTACCTGGAATGTTATAATGTGATTCCTATGCCAACCCTAAACCAGAATGACTCTGAACCTTGCATCTGTAATTGCCCTGGATCTCCAAGTAGCCATCCTTGGCAATTGAGGCAAAGACTGGGCCCTCAATCAGGGGAAGCCCCCATCGCACGCCTTCACCAGCGGGTGGGCACAATGTGGCCGCTATTCCGCCGTCTCTGAGCGAGTCTTGAGCAAGTCTTTGCCTGCTTGAGCAGGTTTTTGCGACTGTGCCATTTGGAGAGAAATCCTGCTGAAGCTGCAAGTCTTGCGCAAGTCCTCACAGTCCTTAGTTTACTTGTCACTTGCTACACATGGTCTTGGGCCAGGTAGGGTAAACAACCTGCTCATGATTCTTGATTGTCATCATTTCATGGTGTAGAATCTGGGCAGCAACAACAACCATGAACATGCCCTGACAGTCATTGCCCTGCAAGATATAGCTATGTAGCTGCTGCCGCACATCCGGCCATCAAAATTATTGTGCATGATGCAGCGATTGTCGACTTGGACAGCTTCTGCTGCTGATCCTCCTTATCCTTCCATGCATCCTTTCCATCGCCACGACTACCATTTGTGGCAGTTTTTCTTGTGCTGCATCCAGAGCTGCTCCCATTCTTCTGCTGCCTCTACATCCGCTGCGGCTGCTTCTGCTGCAGCATCTGCTGCAACTATCCACCCTAAACTTGGTAAACAGTTGACCTTGCCTCTCCGGGATCCTTACGCCCAGCACCCCCTGCAATCCCAAAGACTATGGTCCCCCTTAAGGAATACGGGGTATATGGGGAGCTTTTTATGGTGTTGGGGAATTCCATATTCTATTTTTTCAAGGGGAATTATAGACCCCACCAAAGCCTAACCTCATCCCCAAGCTGATGAGGTTCTTGTTGGCGCCTGCCAAGCCTACGGCATCCCTGGCAGAATGGCCGGGCCGAGTCTTGAAATCCGAGTCCTCAAATGGCCCATAATCATCTAATCTAAACTCCTTGAAAGGCGGCTATATAGGGAGTATTACAGGGGTTATTCAGGGGGATATTAGGAGTTTAGACATGGCTCACACGGGCTTTCCATAACCTAGTGGTACCGTTTTGGGATCCCAATATTACAACAACAGGATGTTGGAGTCTATGTTGGGGTCTACCATCTATGGACACTACCAAATCCACATCGTCTAGTCACGGTAAGGTGTCATGCGCACAGCAGGTTTTGAATTGTGTGCATGGGCGTTTGCGCGGGATCCACGGGCGGGCCACTGAACTGTAACCCAACATCAGGTATGCATTTGGGTGGCCATCATTGTTTCGAATCACAATCATCGGAGCAGTTTGGCATTCATTTTGACGTGTGCATGGGTCGAAGAGCTCAAAGGATTGAGGCTGTGGGCTACTGAGGATTTACTGGTCTCGCGTTTAGTTTGTCTGCTCTAGGGAAGATTTGAAGCAACTCCTACCATAGTATTTTTTAGGAGGACCCCCCACCCTGTAGTAGTGACATAATAGGAATATAAGAGGACCCTAATATAATCCTTACTAACTATTCCTTATAGTCACTATTACTGGGTGGGGGGTCCACCTAAAGTATTGTGCTTCTATCCTGCAATTGCCTCGCTCTTTTACTTTGGCCCTTACATGCCAAGTGACCCTTCAAATAGCATCGCCCAGCACACCCCAAGAACCCCAACAACTGGGAGTTAATCCCAGAGTGCCCAGATGAACAGAGACCCTCACTTCGAAGACTGTGGCGCAGCGCATTACCTGTGGAATCACAACCTTGCTGCCAAAACATGACATGAAAAAGCTGTTCAAAAAGTCTTCAGTCCTCAAGTTTTCAGTCTTCAGCCTACACAGCCTAAACCCCTTGGCACACACCACCCTTGCAATCCGAAAGCAATGTACAAGAGACTTTCCCACCTTACCTCCCCATCCCCCTTCCTGACCTGCAGATTCCCAACTGCCCCAAATGGGGCGACTTGCCTGGTCACATTGGCAAGTTTTGGATTTTTGGTGCAGAGGCTTGAGGAAGCATCTTCATTTTGGGCTTGCGTCTTTGATGCTGACAGGGACTCGAGTTGTGAAGTTTGCAGGCAGAATGCATAGGCCGCAGGGAATGCACAGTTGACATTTGCGTTCGCTTGCCAATCTGGGTCCAGGGCCGGGAGTTGTGGCTAGAGGGGGTCAACCTGGTCGGACAAACCGGGTCACTGGAACAAACCCCAAGATATTGTCATCTTCGTTTTATGTGCTCCCAAATTTTTGGAAGTCCCTAATCAACTGAGGCTGTGATCGTGAGTTTCACCCTCAAAGCATGCACGCCTGTTCTGAAGTCTATCTTGATGGCGCTGGATGGGTTCTGGTGGAGCCCCAAAAGGGGGTGCTCGGAGACTTCAAGGATCCTTGGCATGCTTTCTGAATTTGCTGGGCCCTTTACTTTGGCCGATGAAAGGATCGTACTTTGATGCGGCATAGTCGGACCTCAGAATGGGAGCAGCCCTCTACTTTCACCAACGTCCCAGCTACTACGAGAGCATTGCGCCTTCTCAAGAACTAAGCCCAGATCTACGCAGCCCTGAAGGAGTACCTCGCTCTCGACACGATTCCACCCCGCCTCACTTGCCTTCGTGATGCTGCGATTCTTCACCCGGAGCTAGGCGGCCATGCCGTGCACGTGGTGGAGACGCACCTGAGTGGGGTTTCATTGCGCGATGGGGTGTGGGCTAAATTCTTTCAGTATCAAAGGCGGATGCTAGCTGCCTCAGGCCTGGGATCATTCAACAATGCCTGACTAGTATTGTGACCTGCCGGATAGGGCGGATAGGGGAGCTAAGGTACTTTAACAAGCTCGACGACAACAAGAATGGAGTCCTAGATGGCGCCGAGATACCGGAGTTCCTGGTTCCAGAGAAAAGGCTAGAGCTATCTGGTTATCTTAGTTGGAAGGCTTGAAGGTATATTTCTGAAGAATCCAAGGGGACTTCCTAACCAGAACAAGTCATCTTGTCAGGGGCTGCCGTGGGCTTATGCAGTGAAGGGGACATGTTCAGTCGGTGGGCTGGACCTCAAGTATGGGAATAAGGCCTTCAATTGGAATTCATGCCTGGGCGCACACCACGCCGTTGCCTGCTCCTGCAGAAACCTAGGAGCACGCATAAGGATTTTTTTTTTTTTTTTTTTTNNTTTTGTGTGTGTGTGTGTGTTTTTCAATGTGCAATTCTGTTCTAACCAGAAGACGCAGGGCTTCTTTGGCACATGTATTAAATCAACTTTGTCTTCGCCAAAATGGAACGTCCCGGCTTTGTGGAAACTAGCAAGTAAGAAGGATGGGAAGGAAACGGGTAGACTCAGTGTGTCACAAGTTGGGATCTTTGCATCCGCAATTAATCTGGAAGCTCAGCAATTGAAGCGCTGTTTTACGCTTAATGTTTTCCAACCCAAGACAATAGCATAGACGACGCCAGAAGATGCTAAGCTTCAGACTTGCGTTTCAGGTTCTGACCAGGTCCTAGAACATGTGAGAGTCATTTGTTTCACGGAAGTCCCGCCCAACAGCTGATTTGAATTGGTTCTGGGCAGGGAGAAACTGAGGCTCTAACTAGGTGGTATCCTATAGTGTCTTAAAATTACTACGATACATAAGGTTAGTTTTCATAGCATAGAGTTTCATTAACAAAGCCGTCAGCGCCTGATTTGAAGTAAGGTTCCTTGCAACGTCCTCCATACACATGAGCATGCAGTGCCGCGCCAGCTAGCAGTTTGTTTGAGAGCAGCAGTGGGGGGTTTAGGGTTGAGCAGATCCCCAGTGTGTCATGGACGTGAGCTGAGTTGCGCTCTATCTGAGTGCCTAGCACGCAGTGCTCCCACTATAGCCCCCTAAACCCTAAATCCTGGAAGCCCTCAACCCAAGAGTCTTCGGATCCCCAGTATCCCAAAAGCTTGATTGCCTCAGCATGCCGCAAAGGAGGCAAACAATGTTTTGTGCCTGAGCACCTGCAACGTACCCACAGACAAAAACAAGGGACATAGTTTTTTTGCTGGGCCTCAGATTCTTTTGCATTCCTTTCATCCACATGGCCCGAAGACACCCCCTGCCTATTCCGTTAAATGCGCAGAGTTATCTTCGCATCATTCCTCTTTTAGATCCCCTAAACCCCCAAAACCTCCAAAACCCTAGACCCTAAACCCCTAAAGCTGGAGCTAACCGGACAGACAGTCTTTGCCGTGGCTGCTGTGTGCGATGCGCGTGTCTAAACCCCTAAAACCTAAACCTCCAAGGTTCTTGAAGGAGGCGCTGGCGGTGCCTGCAGGCTCCGAGGCAGACTGTGCCTCCTCCGTGGACGAGGTGTCAGGCTTTACTTACTGGGGGTTTGTAGGGAATAGGGGAATCTATTCTGCAGGGATTGTAAGGGGTCAGATTCCCTTACTCCCTACTAGCCCGTGAATAGATCTTTGGGCCTTTTCGTGCATCCCTAGAACTACAGGGCTGGTGGCAGCTCCTTAGATTTAGATTCTGAGCCTACGGTCTTAGACTAGTGGGTGCGGTGGTTTGCCAGGGTAGGACTGTCCCACTCCTCCACAGGGGAAGAGACCTCTTCATCAAAGGCATCTGGCCAGGGGGGTGTGGCTCCTGGGTGTGGTCCATGTGTGTGGTCCATGTAGTGTGCGCGCTGATGTAACTGCTTGTGTGCAACATCGATGCTATGGGATCCTGGGAGTTGACAGAACAAACTGCGACAATGTATTTGCTGTGCCACTTTGTCCGCAATCCGCCGAAATTTGCGCCTGCACCAAGCTTTAACTCTTGTTGTCAAGCTCAGGGCTTACGGCGAGGAGAGCATTACTTTGCTGGCTTTGGTTTATAGTCCCCCTTAAGTCGATAGAATATGGCTTTGGGTAAATCATAATAAGACCCCATGCTCCCCATATCCTATCTACTTATTTGGGACTATACGTCAGAGTTTTCGTGGTGTTGGAGCGTTCGGAAGCCTTGAACTCTGCTGCGCAGCATTAATTTCATTAATAACCCGGCGGTTATAGGGGTTATATTAGGGTCATATTGGGGTTATAGTGGGATAATGGAAAAGTAACTGGAAGCTACAATGCAGGGCTTCGGGTATATTATAGTAGTTTCCATTTTCTTTTCCATTATCCTTTTATACTCCCTAAATTCTCCCTATAGTACTCTATTACCCCTATATTACCCCTATGAGGCCTTTCAAGGGAGGCGGGTTTACTGCCAGGCGCTCCATATCTTGGACAAGGATGGCAATGGCTCCCTATCCAAGCAGGAAGTGCTCCAGGCCTTCGTGCGGGAGGGATGCCTCCGATTCGATGATCAGGGCAGACTTTCGCGATTTGCAATTTCCAGCGTTGAACTTGTAGTTTGTAGGTTTCATAACATCCAGAGGTGTGTGAGGCAAGGTAAGACAGTTTCAGTTTGGAGTTTTGCAGGTCCAATCCGCACTTATCTCATGTTCAGGGGACGCAATCTAGCAGGACTAGAGTTTCTCGAGAAATATCCACGTGACGCTACAGAATTTGCTGCGTCACAGCAAGACACTTACACCCTAAAGCCCAAACCCCAAAGCAAACCTCTCACGCTAAGAACCTGCACCCCAAGACCTCACCTTAAGGCCCCAAACCCTACAAACCCTGCAGGCCTTGGAAGCCGGGATTCTACCCGCCTGTGGCCTGTCCTACACCTGGGGCCAGGCCATGCCTGAAAATTGCAACTTCGGGTTTGGGGTCTCAGGGTTTAGGGTTCTTTGGGGGTTTAGGGGCTCAGGGTTTAGGGTTTGTTTGGGAGTCTAGTGTTTTAGGGTTTGAGGTTTAGGGTTTCAGGGTTGAGGAGTTTAGAGATTGCGGCTTTGGGGAACGGACTTGCCCTTTTGTCGCACGGCTTCGCCCTCAGTACGGTTTCAAAAACAAGGGAGGGTTTCTAGGGTTCGGCGTTTAACAGGGTCGTAGGTACGGCTGGTCCTTCCTGCAAAGGTCCGAAAGTGCCGTTTCTCTGTTGTGAATCCCAAGCTAGGCTTGCGTATATGGAGCTTGTTTGGTTTAGTGAGCTAGCTCTAAACACTTGTAGAAGGGAGAGAAGTGAGGTGCTTGAAGAACCCACGGACCTACGGACTAATAGGTCGGGAACGTTGAGCAACGGGTCACCAAGGTCGGACACAGCAGAAGAATCACAAACAGGCAACATCCTGTACTTTTTTCGAATTGACATTACAAAAAACAGTCATGTTTCGTAAGATGCGTACCTAGTTGGGTCATGACTTACGAAGCCTCGAACGCACAGTTGGCTCTTTGTCCAGTACTGGTCAATGGCTGTGGGCTTTTGAGGATGGAGTATGTCTCTTACCGTCAGCATGTTGGTTGTTGTTGTTGTTGTAGTGGTTGTTGTTGATCTTCAGGATGCACTGACAATCTTTTAAACAACTTCTTGTTAGAGGGCCCCCCGATAGACAGCTATGAGGGTTCCAGGGCAGATGGAGATTATCACGACTTGCTGAGCGTAGGCAGAAGTTTGCGCAGTAGGTGTCCGCTTGCATGCAGCTGCGGAAGCTGTGCCGCAGCTGATCAATGCACTTGAGGATTGTTTTCTTTTGGTGAGCAACAGCGCTGAAGGGGCCGTCGGCAAGATGGGTGCAGGGAGGGAAGACCTGGCCTATACGACGACGGTTGCAAATTTGTTGTGTTGAAGTGGGCTCCGAGTGTTTCATCGCAAAGCAGAAGGCATGATTTGTCAATACTGAAGCAGGGTTCAACTGTGGTGTCGCAGCCAATATTCGGACTGCAAGCTACATAATTTCCATCCTAGATCCAGTGGTCCGCGCTGCAACTGATGACTTTCCAGCTTGTTTCCTGAATGTGCCGCACTGCCCTGGGCTCCAGTGTAGGTGGATAGCCATCTAAGAAAGGCCGCAGGCAGCCCAAGAGGACTCCCTCTGCCAGTGGATCCGGTGTGATTGCCGCACCAATTTCACGGTAGGCTTGCCTCCAACCTCCTCAAGAGTTTCGGGCAGTTGCGCTGGTCTGGTGGTTTCCTGCCTTCCAAGAAGTCGGGGCCTCCAGAGCCCGCCATCTTTGGTTCAAGGTCACCCAGCCTATGGGCTGCTTCGTCCCCATCCTCCAAAACCTTTGGCTCCAGATTCAGCACCGCCTCGCATGTCTGTGGTGTGGCTTTCAAGATGGGTCAGCTGTGCCACAGTTGATCGAAGCTCTGAAGCGTAGAGATTTCTCGAGTTTGGAGAGACTTGCTACACCGATCTTGGGCAAGATGGGTCATCCAAAAATACCTGGAACTGTGCCACAGCTGATAGAAGCGCTGACGCATGAAGATGCATTCGTGCGTAGTTTTGCTGCAGAGGCCTTGGGCAAGATGGGTCGTCCAGCAGCAGCTGAAGCTGTGCCGCAGCTGATAGAAGTGCTGACGCATGAATTCGACATTTTGCGTGCCAAAGCTGCCGAGGCCTTGGGCGAGATGGGTCCAGCAGCAGCTGAAGCTGTGCCCCAGCTGATCGAAGCGTTGAAGCATCAAGATTCATTCGTGCGCAACTCTGCTGCAGAAGCCTTGGGCAAGATGGGTCGCCCAGCAGCAGCTGGAGCTGTGCCGCAGCTGATCGAGGCGCTGGCGCATGAAGACTACTTTTTGCGTACCAAAGCTGCCGAGGCTTTGGGCGAGATGGGTCCAGCAGCAGCTGAAGCTATGCCGCAGCTGATCGAAGCGCTGAAGCATCAAGATTCAATCGTGCGCAACTCTGCTGCAGAGGCCTTGGGCAAGTTGGGTCCAGCCGCAGCTAAAGCTGTGCCGCAGCTGATCGAAGCATTGAAGGATCAACTTTCATACGTGCGCAGTTCTGCTGCAGAGGCCTTGGGCAAGATGGGTCCAGCAGCAGCTGAAGCTGTGCCGCAGCTGGTCGCAGCGCTGAAGGATCAATATGCTGGTAGTGCTGCTGCAGAGGCCTTGGGCAAGATGGGTCCAGCAACAGCTGAAGCTGTGCCGCAGCTGATCGCAGCGTTGAAGGATCAACGTCCATTCGTGCGCAGCTTTGCTGCAAAGGCATTCGGCGAGATGGGTCCAGCAGCAGCTGAAGCTGTGCCCCAGCTGATCGAAGCGTTGAAGGATCAACGTCCATTCGTGCGCAGTTCTGCTGCAGAGGCCTTGGGCAAGATGGGTCCAGCAGCAGCTGAAGCTGTGCCGCAGCTGATAGAAGCGCTGACGCATGAAGATCACTTCTTGCGTGCCAAAGCTGCCGAGGCCTTGGGCGAGATGGGCCCAGCAGCAGCTGAAGCTGTGCCGCAGCTGATCGAAGCGCTGAAGCATGAAGATTCAATTGCGCGCAACTCTGCTGCAGAGGCCTTGGGCAAGCTACAACCAGCAGCAGCTGAAGCTGTGCCGCAGCTGATCAAAGTGCTGAAGCATAAAGTTGTTGTTGCAAAGGCCTCGCGCGAGAAGGGCCCAGCAGAAGTGCAGCTGATCGAAGCGCTGAAGCATGAAGATTTGATTTTGCTCTTTTCTGATGCAGACGCCGTGGGCAAGATGGGTCGCCCAGCAGCAGCTGGAGCTGTGCCGCAGCTGATCGAAGCGCTGGCGCATGAAGACTACTTTTTGCGTACCAAAGCTGCCGAGGCTTTGGGCGAGACGGGTCCAGCAGCAGCTGAAGCTATGCCGCAGCTGATCGAAGCGCTGAAGCATCAACATCCAATCGTGCGCAACTCTGCTGCAGAGGCCTTGGGCAAGTTGGGTCCAGCCGCAGCTGAAGCTGTGCCGCAGCTGATCGAAGCATTGAAGGATCAACTTTCATTCGTGCGCAGTTCTGCTGCAGAGGCCTTGGGCAAGATGGGTCCAGCAGCAGCTGAAGCTGTGCCGCAGTTGATCGAAGCGTTGCAGGATCTCCATGTAGTCGTGCGAAGTTTTGCTGCAGAAGCGTTTGGCAAGATGGGTCCGGCCGCAGCTGAAGCTGTGCCCCAGCTGATCGAAGCATTGACGCATCAAGAAACAATCGTGCGCAACTCTGCTGCAGAGGCCTTGGGCAAGATGGGTCCAGCAGCAGCTGGAGCTGTGCCGCAGCTGATAGAAGCGCGGACGCATGAAAATCACTTCTTGCGTGCCAAATTTGCCGAGGCCTTGGGCGAGATGGGTCCAGCAGCAGCTGAAGCTGTGCCGCAGCTGATGGAAGCGCTGAAGCATTCAGATATCTCATCTTTGGTCACAATTTCCAGGCGTTGGGCAAGATGGGTCCAGCAGCAGCTGAAGCTGCGCCGCAGCTGCTTCAAGTCCTGGAGGACAACAATGAGCAGAGTGTCAGACATGCAGCCGCAGAGGCCTTGCATAAGATGGGTCCTCCAGGCGCTTCAGCTTTGGGGTCTGCGGCTGTGCTGTGGAGGAGGCTTACCCTGGTTCTCGGACGAACTGATGCCCGAACGCCAGCCCACAGTAGGGTGTTGCAGCTTCTGCTCTCGCTCAGTCAGGAATGTCAAGACTCCGTGGATCCCGTCGTGGCCGATGCCGTTCTGCAAGCGTCATGGCTCAGTGACTGCGACGACGTTGTGCGGTCCGCTGTGAAGTTTCTTCCTTTGATCCTGAATGCAGTCGAAGTTAGCACCTTCCAGCGGCGCGGCCTTGTGCAGCGAGCCTACCGCATGGTGCCGGATGCAGTAGTGGAATGCGGGCTGCTCGAGCATCTGGGAATTGGGAGTCCCGATGACCACCCTGATCCAATGGAGCAAGACATGAGCCAGCCAGACCTCGCTGAGATACCCTTCAGATTTCTCAGCAGCAGCGGCAGCAACAAAATAGCCACGGAAGCATCGCTTTCTCAACGGGCAGCCTACATTCCCGCAGGCAGTTCAGATTGTGAGCCGCCGTGGCAGCTGACTGCCCTTCAGATCGGTCAAAGCAGCGCAGCAAGTGCTGACTCTGAAGGATGCTGGGCCGACCACGAATCTGAAAACTTTGACGGTTCTTTGGAATTCTGGCAGATTTTTTCTTTTGAGAGGTCTGCTCAGCGGGTGTGTGTTTAGCTAGAGTCCAGCGGAAGGGCGGGCTGGAAAGGAAGGTAAGGCGTTTCAAACCCTTTGATTCACGTCAGGTGAGGAGAGCTCCCTGCATGGAAGCTAGATTTCCCGAAAAGACATGCGCCCGTCAGTGACGGAGCGCATGAGACGCCATGGCCTCAGTAGACCAGGTGTTGTGCGACACCGATTCTGTCTAGCAAACCTGGTAGTCTCCCAGAACAGAATACTACGATCCTTTCTGGGACCCCCAGAAAGTACCCCTAATTGATTGGGAAACCCCCACCTGGTTCCGTTCGATTTGGCTGCCAGACAGGCCTGTTCAGATTCCCTAGTTTTGTTTTGTAGTAGAAATTGGGCGTGGGAACTTTCAATGTTGAGGTGGGAAGTTTTGTAGCTGTGACCAGGCAGGGGCTGCAGGCATTGGATTTGCGTGCCATGTGCTTCCAGGCCCTTGCTCTTTATGAGTCTGTCTT